CATTCTAAACCACGCCACCTTGCTCCCGATATCAAAGAGCCCAGTTAAACATAACTATGTAGAGGTGTTGGACTCAGTTTAAACTAGTGGGCCCAACCTCCGAGACCATCCTGAAACATCAGTAGACTGGGAGCTGTACGTGGATAGAAGCAGCTTCTCCAACTCCTGCAAAGTGACTCTGAAGAAGACGACAAGCCCTGCCCCAGTCACACCCGGAAGCTGACTGTTCCACGCACGGCTGAAGCATGAGGAAACTCATTGCGGGACTCATTTTCCTTAAAATTTGGACTTGTAGAGTAAGGACTTCAACTGACCTTCCCCAGACAGAGGGCTGCTCACAGTGTATACATCAAGTCACTGAAGCAGGACAAAAAGTTGCGATGGTCCTATTATTTTATGGTCATTATAAGTGTACTGGAACTCTAAAAAGAACTTGTTTGTATAATGTTATTCTATACAAGGTATGTAGCCCAGGAAATGACCAACCCGATGTGTGTTATGCCCCATCTGAGCCTCCCATGATCACAGTTTTTAAAATAAGATTAAGAACTGAAGACTGGTGGGGCCTCATGAATGATATGATTAAAGCGTTAGCCAAAACAAAACAAAAAAAGTAGGTGCCCAAACAAGTCACCGTAAAATTTGATGCCTGTGCTGTCATTAATAATAATAAATTAAAAATAGGATGTGGTTCTCTTAATTAAAAAAGAGACTATATGGCAAAAATAAGTACATTTATCATGAATTAAGACTGTGAAAATAAATGTAGATACTGGTCTTGTGTCATTTAGGCTACTTGAATGAAAAAAAAAAGAAAAAATCCTGTCCACCTTCAGCAAGGGAAAAGTGGCCCTTCTTATACCAGTGGTCCAGGTAACACCTCAGAACTAGTAATAACCAACCCCCTTAATCCTCGCTAGAAAAAAGAGAATGTGTAACCCTAAAAACTGATGGAGCTGGACTAGGTCTTCAGGTAAACATCGTGGTTTGAGAAAACGTTTACAAACACTCTCCTGAGTCAGTATATCAAAACTTCTATGATGAATTGAATGTGCCAGTACCAGAAATTCCAGGAAAAACAAGAAATTTGTTTCTGCAATTAGCCGCGCACATAACCCAGTACTCAATGTCACTGCATGTTACGTATCAGCACAAGTGTACTATATGAATCAGTATCGATCTGCACATTATCAATATTGCACAGGAAGACAAAAGGAGCGAAAATAAGAGTGAGAACTCCCACTGATAAAAAGTGAGAGTCTCAAAGGGGGGAAATGAAGGAAGAGAGACAGACCCTCTCATATTGTTTTATACTCAGAAAAAAAAAAAAAAAAAGAAAGAAAAGCGAAACTAAAGGCAGGTAGCCCAGCGCTTAGGAACCAGACCCAAAACCAGGCCTGGGCCTGCCTGACCTAAGCCTGGTAGTTAAAATTCAACCCCTGACCTAGCAACTGATATTATCTATAGATTATAGAAAGACATTGTAAAACTTCCCGGTCTGTTCTGTTTCACTCTGACCACTGATGCTCGCAGCCCCTGTCACATACCCCCTGCTTGCTCAATAGATCATGACCCTCTCACACACACCCCCTTAGAGTTGTGAGCTCTTAAAAGGGACAGAAATTGCTCACTTGAGGAGCTCAGCTCTTGAGACAGGAGTCCTGCCGATGCTCCCGGCCAAATAAACCTCTTCCTTCTTTAACTTGGTGTCTGAGAAGTTTTGTCTGCAGCTCGTCCTGCTACACTACCCCCTGTCACCCCAACTTCACCAGCAAGGACATGGAGGCTCAGAGAATTGTGGGAGCTTGAAACCACCCACTCTGCCTGTCTCCCACAGCTGCTAAGCAGGTGGCTAAGGCATCCCTCAGACACCCTGTGTACAGTGGGAACCAATCTGCCCACTCGTGATACAGGGAGACCCACGTCCCCCAGATGCGGAAGGCACACCCCACTGCAGAGGACAGGTGTTCCGCACTCAAGCACTGTGCCTGCCCGAGCTGAGGCCCCTTTGCTGGATGAGTCCCAGACCCGCCCCCGAGTATGGGAGCGGCCAGATGCCACCAATACCCAGGGACAAGTGGCCAGAGGGAGCCGCCAGGGGCAGGTGGGGGCGGGTGCACATGCAGCCACTTCCACAAGCAGGCCCCCCACCTGAGCCACGAACTCAGGACTGTCGGAAGCCCCAGAAACATCCAGCACCAGAACCATCTGTCTGACCCTGGGCTGGGCCTGTGTGGTGTTTCTTGTTCAAGGTCACCAGCCTCGTGGTGGGGCTAGAACTGGGCCCCTGAGCTGCAGATGGCAGTTTTCTGGGGGGCACTCAGAGTCCCACATGCCTGCATCCGCACTGAGCCAAGTCCAGGTCCCTGGCCCTGGCAGCACAGCAGCTTCCCTGAGCTCCCGGGCTGAACTTTAAAACAACGCCTCCCAGTTCAGCTCCAGCCCCACTCTGGGATCCCTGGACTCGGTGGGCCAGGGGCCATTCTTAGGGCAGCTAAGCCCTGGGCTGTATGCCAGGCTGCCCGAGCCGGCCAGTTGGCACCCCTTGGAGTCACCCTGGTCTTTGCACCTGGTGCTCCCATGGGGGTCAGGGGTAGGGGACAGCATGCTCTTGGCCCAGCAGCCGCTGTCGTGAGGGGGCTGGGCGCTGGGGTCAGAATGAGGCTTTGCTCTCCCCACGCAGGCCTGGGCCAGTCTTTGTTCCAGGGCATCCCCCATCTCCGTGAGCCGAGCTGTGCACCTAGGAATTTCATACGTGGCTTTGGGAGGAGGCGTGTCACTGCCTGACAGATCCGGCCACCTTGCTGTTTGTGGAGATTCGAGGCCCACCGTCACCCCGTGGCTGGGGAGTAGCACGTTCCAGCAGGTGGGGGCTGGGACCAGATCCTGATGTGGAGCTCAGGGAACCCTCCGGGGCTGTGGGGGGACAAGCATTTCCCACCCACAGGAATGCAGAACTGCTCCTTCTGCCTCCCTGAGCCCAGGTCCTCCTCCTGACGGAGGGCGGGTCTGTGCCATCTTAGGGGCCTTCTGCCCTCTGCAGGGGGAGTGGGGGCTGAGCAACCTGGGGTCGGGAGGCTTCGGGAGGCTTCTGGATCTCAGGGGACAATCTTATGGGTCTTCCTCCCTCCCTCCCTGGGATCCAGCGGCCAGTTCCTGCCCCTCCCCAGATTGGAGGACACGGATGTCCAGAAGGGGACCTGGAGGGGGTGGGGTCAGGACCCTTGTCCCCAGAGAGCAGCTGACAGAATTGTTCCAAAGGGAGAGAGGGGAGAGGTTGTGGTCTCACTTTCTTGCACTACCCAGCCCCATCCCCAGCCCACCCTTTCCCAGCATCTGCCTCGGTTTCCTCGCCTGTAACATGGAACTAGACACGTGCGGAACACTGTCGAGCGTTTCCACTGGGACGGTCTCCTGAGCAGGGGTGGGAGGGCAGGGGCGGGCGGTCGAACCCTCAGATCCAGGCTGAGCAGGGGCGGGAGGGCAGGGGCGGGTGGTCGAACCCTCAGATCCAGGCTAAGGGGCTCCTCGGAGGAATGGACCCCCCTGGCGCTGTCGCCTTCCAGAAGCCCCCCACCCTGGGGCTGCCGCTGCCCAAGGAGGTGACTTCTCTGGCCCCACATGGCTCTGTGCCAGCCCAGCATCCGCGATGGAGACGGAACGGGCAACATGGCACCTCCGCCTCCCCTACCCCACTTCACTCTGCTCCTTCCGACTGGAGCCCCACGGCCCCCACTCCCTCCAGTGCTCAGGGTGGCCTGTGCCTCAGACAGTCATGCGCAGGGGCAAGGGAGGGGCTCCAGCTCCTGGAATGGGGACTTGAGGGAGGAGGAGGGTCAGGCTGGGTGCCCTCAGGCCCCCAGAGGACCAGCACTGCCTCCCTCCCTTGCGGGCTGAGCCTAAGTGAGGGAGGACCGACCCTGCCCCAGAGGCGCTGTTCTGGGTGCATGTGTCTCCCCGTAGTTCACATAGTTCGGGCTGTTTTTCCCCGTAGCCGCGCACAACTTCCCCACCTAGGACTCCCTGGGCGGGGCCGAGCAGCCGACGAGTCCAGCGGGGCAGGCCCAGGGTCGGAATCTTTGCCCTCTCCTTGTGTGTGGTGCCCACCTGCCATCTACCTCCTGGCAGAGTCGATGCCTTGCTACGGGCGGCCGGAGAGATAGGCAGGAGTGTGGCTCCCACCAGCTCCCACAGCCTGGCCTTTTCCCCCAGAGAAGCAGCCAATGGGGCAGGGCTTGAGACTCCCAGGAATGGGGGAGCCTGCCAAGATGGGGTGCCGGAGGCCTCACTGACCCTGTCTGCCCCCTATCCAGTCCTCTTTGACTGGAAACAGCACCTCCATCTTCCTTTGGGGGTTCCTGTGTGGGGAGGCTTGCCCCACTCCATTCTATCCCCACCCTGTTCCAGGGATGGTGGAGCCCAGGCCAATCAGAGGCACAGAGCTGGCTCAGAGATGGGCCCCTGACCACATTCAGATCAACGAGAGGCAGGACTGCTAGACTATGGGAAAAGAGGGATCTCCTCTCCACAGGGATAGGGCATGCTGGAGCAGCCTGGTCCTCTTCACCATGAGTGTAGAGGCTGCCTAAAAACAAAGCCACTGCAGGGGAAAGCAGGCCAAGAGACTGCGCGAGGCAGCTGTGAAGCACCTGGACCCAATCGTGCCCGAAGTCCTTTTTATACCTGGATCCAGCTGTAGAAGCCCTTCTTACACCTGGGCCCAACCATGTCCAAAGCCCTTCCTACACCTGGATCTAGCCATGCCTGAAGCCCTTCCTACACCTGGATCCAGCCATGCCTGAATCCATTCCTATCTCTGGATTGACAGTTACATGAGCGGATACATTTTCTCCTTTGCAATTTGAAGTGTACTGAGTAACGCACAGGGGAAGCTGTACAACCAAGAGGCTATCTCCTGGTTCTGCCAGGCTCCCAAGACAGGACAGGCCACATTTTCTGCCCCCACTCCAGTCCTCTACAGAGGGCAGTCCCCCACTCACCATGACAGATGTGGTCATGCCCTCTAGGTGGAAGACGTCCATGCTGGAATCCGTGCCGCCCACCACCTCATTATTCCCCCGGCTTGACTGGGGAAGGTCGAAGTAGGTGCTGTCTGGTTCCCTGGGGCAGGGAGAGGAAAACAGAAGCTGTCAGTCCCCAGTCTGGGCGTCACCCCCATACCTCCCAGGCCCAGAGCTCAAGGATAGCCCGAGACTCCTGGTGAGGCCTATGTCTCCTGCCCTTCCCACTCCCTCTCATGCCATCTCTGTCCTCCACCTGCTCCTCCAGGGCTGCTGTGAGTGCCAGAGAGGCAGAGCCAGTCATGGCCTCTGTTATTCTGGGCCTCTGCTGGCCATGGGTCCTTTCCAAACCTGGGAAAAGAGTCTGAATTTTGGTCCTGTGTCCCCAGGGAAGGCCTAGGGCAGTGGTCTCCCTTCCCTGCCCCTCTGACCCAGCCCTGTCCCCAAGTTGATGAGGGTGGCCAAGGTTAGCTGAAGACCAGTGTGGAGCTACCTCTTCTGCTCTGGTCCAGTCAGCCCAGCGAGGGTGTTCAAGGCTAGCCCAGAATCCCAGAGAAGGTTGCCAAGGTTAGCCCAGAGTCCTCCCGGGGCCACCCCTCCTGCTCTGGCCCAGTTAGCCCAGCGAGGGTGGCTGAGGCTAGCCCAGAGTGCCTCCCAGGGGAGCCCCCAGGTCTGGCCAGCCGAGCGCACTCACAGAGAGCTCCAGAGGTGCTCAAACGTGGTGCCCCCATCGGGGGAGGTGGTGGTGGACTGGGCCATCTTCCTCACACCGGCCTCCGAGGGCAGCTCGCTCTGCAGGAAGGAAAGAGTGACACCTGAGCGCCCTGGAATTTCTGCTCCGTCCTCCTGTGACAGCCTCGGCGGGGACGAAGGTGGGGTGGGCAGCAGGCAGGTGGGCCTGCCTGGGACATCCCTCGAGCACTGGCAGGTGCCCCCGCCTCACCCTCCCTGTGCCCTCTCCACTGTCATTTTGTCCACCCCGCTCCCTGCGGCTGGAAACTGAGGGCCAGGTGGGCAGCTCTGCCTTGGAGGTGGCGGGCCTGGATCAGACCTATCCGCGGGGGCGCCCTGGGCAGGCAGGTGCTTCTCAGAGCCGCCGCCTCGGAAGAGGGGGTGACAGCAGCACCCGCTCCTGGGGCTGCCTTGAGGGCCTTCGGGAGAGCAGACTCTTTGAGATGCTTAGGCTGGGACAAGCGTGTGAGGCCTGTGGTCTGTTATGATCCACTGTGTCTAGGTTTGGCCTGGAGGATGCAGCCAGGTTTGGGGTCTCCCTGATGCCTGGGACCTGGAGGTGGTTCAGGTTCCTATCACCCCATCTGGGGAACAGCATGTGCGAGGGATGCCCTGGAGGCTGCAGCCGAGCCCCAGGCCAGAGCTTTGCTGTGCCAACTGCTGGGGGACACAGACGTCCCCTCACCTTCTGAGCCAGGGCTCCTCCCTGCACCCCAGCCCCACAGGGAAGGCTGGCCAGGCTGGGAACAAGAGGCTGCCCTGTCCTGGAGCCAGCCATTGCCTGGGTGGTCACGCCTTGAGAAGGAGACACCCAGGGAATGGGGAGCCCTGACCCGGCGCCCATCCGCTGGTCTTCATCTCTACCATTGCTCCCTGAGAGCCCCTGTGTCCAGCTCCCAGTGGCCCTGGACACCCATGAGGAGGTAGCAGTGTCCAGGTGGGGCACAGCTGGGGTCCCTTTTCTATGCTGAGGGGGAGGGGACAGGGAAACCCTAGCCCGCCCTGCCCACAGCCCCCAGCCCTGACTGAGGTGACCTCTCCCCTGGGCCAGCCTCCTAGGTTCTCGGTGAGGTGCCATGGGACAGGCTTGGCCACTGCCCTGCAGTGCTCAGGCAGGCAGGCCTGGACCTGCCCACGGCCAGCGGGGGTGCAGGCCATGGCCTGGAACCTGTCGCTTTTGTCCTTCCCCAGGCAGGCGGGAGCTGATAGAAGCCCGTGGCACGCTCCTGGGCCACCACATGCCAGGCCCTGGAGAAATGGCACGGGCCAGGCTGGGGTGTAGCCAGTGAGCCATGATGGCCTGGGACAAGCAGCTTAGAGGGTGCTGGCCCACGCCACCTCCCCCCAGGTGAGCGTGACCACTCCACCCACTTTTCAGGAGCCCCAAGGCTCAGAGGGGTTAAGTGACTTGCCTGAGGTCACACAGTTGGTGGTGAATGTCCCAGGGGCTCTTTCTCAGAATTGGAAGTTAATTTGGTTGCCCTGCCCCACCCCCCTTCACCATCACGTGGCCAGGCAGGTGTGCCCTTGCAGGCCTCCGATCCTGGGCTGGGCTGGGCTGTCTAACACCCCAGTGGAGCTGAGGGTGTGCATGGGGACTGCACCATCCTGTTCATTTAAAATGGGAGGACGTGACAGGAAGCAGAACCGTAGGCCCAGCTGAGGCTGGCACAGGGCCCCGGGGGAGGGCAGAACCTGCCCGTGCCCCATGGTGGGTCCGTTTGGGCTGAGCAGTATGAGTGGGGTAGCCTCTTGGTGCAGGTGTGTGGGCTAAGGCTGGGTGGAAACGAGTGAGGGGCCCCAGGCATGCGTCCCGAAGGACAGCAGCACTGCAGGGGCCGGACTGGGAGGAAAGAAATTCCCTCAGATCCAAGAGGACAAGCCTGGGAAGGTTTTGCCGCCAGAGGCCACTGGGTCGCATCCCCTTCATTTTGCAGATGGGCCACCTGAGCCCAGAGACGGAAATGGACTTGCCATGCACAGTAGGTGGGTGACAAAATCCCAGCTCCCTTCACAGCAGCACCATTCCCGGTAGCTGAACAGTGCACGTAGCCCAGATGCCCATCAGCAGAGGGCCGGCCACGTGAGACATGGTGCCAGCAAACAATGGAACATTGAAAAGCAACAAAGCTCTGACATGCTACAGTGTGGGTGAGACCTGAAAACCTCATGCTCAGGACACATGACCTCATCTGTCAGCCTGTGAGCTGTCCCCTCCCAAAGGCTAAAGTGGGACAAAGACAGAGAGAGACAGAGACAGAGGGACAGAGAGACAGAGAGAAGCAAGGACAAAGAGAGACAGGAACTGGTCAGTGAAACATTATTCATGATCTTATGCCTGGGACATGGGCATTGGCTGCATTTTCAAGTCAGCATCATTTGAATTCCCACTGAAGCCACACCCTCTCTTCCCACTGAACCCTGAATGAGGAACAGTGACCCTTCTTGTTGGCACGTCCCTGCCTGCTGGAGACCCAGCTTCCACACCCCCGACCAGCATCCACTGTGCACTGCAGGACACCAGCTTGGCCTCTTGTCCCTGCCTGGGCACGGGACAGAGGCCAGCGAGCATGGTCATGGGTCCCCGGCCCCACCCACCCAGCCCTCCGGGCCCACAGGACAGGCCACCACCGGGAGCGTGTGGGGTGGGAAAGGGGCTTTCTCTGCACCACGAGTTGGGTCCCCAAACATCCCCCAGGCCTATCTGCCTGAGATGTGGGCAGTGGGCCTCCAGGTGCAGGCGTGTGGACCGGCCAGCAGCCCTGGGCAGATGCATCTTCCAGGACACCCCTCCCCACGGTGGGGCCAGGGCAGGGCCCAGGAATCTGCACTTTTAAGAAGCCCCCAGGGGAGTCATGAAGACCCTGGGACAGGACCCCCGAGGAGGACACTGTCATGAAGGCCGGCCTTGCCACTGCCCAGGGTCCTGCTGCAGCCACTGGCCTCCCCCATGGGAGTCAGGTTCCTCATCAGTCAAAACCAGGACCCGGAAACCTGCCCAGACTTAAAGCACATGGAGGAACTGGAACCAGAAGCCACCAGATGCCTGATTCCCAACTTCCTGGGAAAACACCAACGCTGGTAGCATTGGCCCCAGGGCCCCACAGGAACACTGGTCACAGGCACAGGAGCCAGGCAGGGGCTCCCCCAGTCGGCCTCACACACGTGAGCTGGTGACCGGCTCTGTGGGCATCTGGGAGTACCGGGCACAGGGAACAGGAAGCGCTGTTGCGGGTGCAGGGAGGCTGCGTCCCTCTCTGTGCTGGGGGCAGGGGGAGTGTGTGCCCTCTGCCCACAGCCGCCTTTCAGGCAAGGATCCCAGTGGCGAGAAAAATAAATCAATTCTAAAACAATGGCCTTTAAATTAAATCCGGTTTTCCTGACCATGTGCCTTTTAATTTGAAAATTCATTCACAAGGGGAACACAGTTCTGGGGCAAAATGGAAATTGCTTTTGAAACATTGCCAATCATGTTAAAAATCATGTGTATCAATGGGGAAAAGACACCAATTTCATAAGAAACTTTAGGAAGTTTTATTGACATCGTAAAATGCAAATACATTATTGGAAGTGTAAGTTTTTCTTTTCTTTTTTTTTTTTTTTGACGGAGTCTCACTCTGTCACCCAGGCTGGAGTGCAGTGGCCGGATCTCAGCTCACTGCAAGCTCCGCCTCCCGGGTTCACGCCATTCTCCTGCCTCAGCCTCCCAAGTAACTGGAACTACAGGTGCCCGTCACCACGCCCGGCTAGTTTTTTGTATTTTTTAGTAGAGACGGGGTTTCACCGTGTTAGCCAGGATGGTCTCGATCTCCTGACCTCGTGATCCGCCCGTCTCGACCTCCCAAAGTGCTGGGATTACAGGCGTGAACCACCGCGCCCGGCCGGAAGTGTAAGTTTTTCTACGAAGATTTAGTCTAGGAGGAATGGGCTGGGTGGAGTGGTTCATAACTGTAATCCCAACACTTTAGGAGGCCAAGGAGGGAGGATCACTTGAGCCCAGGGGTTTGAGACCAGCCTAGGCAACATAGGGAGACCTCAGCTCTCCAAAAACTTAAAAAAAAAAAAAAAAATGGCCAGGTGCAATGGCTCATGCCTGTAATCCTAGCACTTTGGGAGGCCGAGTCGGGCGGATCACAAGGTCAGGAGATCGAGACCACCCTGGCTAACACAGTGAAACCCCGTCCCTACTAAAAATACAAAAAATTAGCCAGGTGTGGTGGCGGGCACAGGTAGTCCCAGCTACTCGGGAGGCTGAGACAGGAGAATGGCGTGAACCTGGGAGGCGGAGCTTGCAGTGAGCCGAGATCATGCCACTGCACTCCAGCCTGGGCGACAGAGCAAGACTCCGTCAAAAAAAAAAAAAAAAAAAATTAGCTGGGCATGATGGCATGTGCTGGTGGTCCAAGCTACTCAGGGTGCTGAGGATGGACAATCACTTGAGCCCAGGGGCTCAAGGCTGCAGTGAGCCATGATTGCACCACTGCACTCCAGTCTGGGCAACAGAGCTAGACCCCAGCTCTAAAAAAAAAAAAAAAAAAAAGGGAAAGGAAGGAAGGAAATGAAATAAGTGAGTTCTCAGTTGTAACGGGGGCGTCCAGTGTGTATTCGCACAGGTCTTGTAGTGGAAGGCTTTTCCAGTTTAGAAATGTGTGGTCACAGCATTTGGGGGTGGCCACTGGGGAACTGCTGGCCGGCAACCCCCAGCCCCGGCACCATCAAGTCAGGGCACAGAACTGCAAAGGACAGTTGTGCTGGGCGTTCCTGGTCACGCTGTAGCCAGGCCATAGGCTGCGGGCACAGCCAGGAAGCAGGGCACCTTGTCCCTGCCCCAGCCCTACCCCAGTTTCCGTGAGGCCTCAGACAAGTCCCCTCCCCTTGCCAGGCTGGAAAGGTGACCAGCGTTCCAGGTCCTACAGTGACCACAGCAGTGGGAGCAGGACAAAGACCAGTCACCGAGGGCCCTCCAGCAAAGCCAGACCTCAGCCTGCTTGGATCCTCAACTCTAGGGGCCGCTGCATCAGCTGCACCCCAGGGAGAGCCCCCTGCACCGGCTGCACCCCAGGGAGAGCCCTCACACACGTGTGACTCTGAACAGGAAGAGGCTCACACCAGCACAGGTGGGCTGGTGAGCGGACTGTGTGGGCCAGAACACCAGCCTGCCCAAGCTCCCTGGGGCTGAAAAACAGGCTCTCTGCCAACTCCTTGGTTTGACTCAACCTAGGAGTTCTCACCAGGGACAACTCCACCCCAGGGACAACTCCACCCCAGGGGATGTTCCCATCTGGGGGCATTTTCAACAGGGTCAGAGGGTGCTGCGGAATCTAGTGTGTGAGACAGGGATGCTGCTCAGCAGCCTACGTTGCTTAGGGCAGCTGCCCACAGCAGAACGCACACCCAGGTGTCGGGGCCACGGTGGAGAGGGGGTGCTGTGCCATCGCTCCAAGCTGAGGCTGGCCGGGCACTTTGCAGGGCCCCAGGCTCACACAGCAACCCTGCTCCAGTCAGGGATGAGCAGGTGGAGGCTGGGAGGCCCAGTGGCTCGCCCAGAGCTACCGAGGGCTGAGGAGCTGGGACTCCAGCCAAGCCCGGGTCCTCTGATGGCCTGGCCGCACCCGAATGGTCCCCTCTGCCCTGTGGGGAGGAGTCCGCAGCCCATGAGGGTCTCTCAGGCTCTCTCATCTCACCCTGCCCAACACCTCTGGCCTTGTCTTCCATAGCTTCCCATGAAAACCACAGCCCCCTGTCCCCATGCCCTGTCCCAAGCATTCCCTCCCTGTCCCCAAGCATCCCCTCCCTATCTCCCATTCCTCTGTCCTCTCCCTGCTCCCCTGTCCCCATAGGTTCTTTCCCTGTCCCCTTTCCCTTTGTCCCCTAGCTCCCCATCCTCTGTCCCCTCCCTGTCTCCGTCCCTCTGTCCCCTCCCCATCTCCAGTCCCTCTGTCCCTCCCTGTCCCTTGTCCCCATAGGTCCCTGCCCTATCCCCATGGGTTCCCTCCCTGTCCCTGTCCCTTTGACCTCTCCTTCTCCCATCCTTCATCCCCCTCCTAGTTCCTGTTTCTGTGTCCCCTCCCTGTCCCCCATCCTCCTGTCCCCTCTGTCCCCCATCCTCTGTCCCTCCCCATCTCCTGTCCCTCTGTCCTCTCCCTATATCTTGTCCCCATGGGTCCCCTCCCCATCCCCTGTCCTCAGTCCCCACATGCCTGGCTATGTACTCTCTGTGTTCAGCCTTTGTCCACCACCTCCTCCCCACCCTGCCCATCTCACCCCTATCCCTCCAGGCCAGGCCAGGACCCGGCCTCCTCCAGGAACCCCGTCTCCGGTTGACAACCCATCCTCTCCCTTCACCACCTGACAGGAGGTGGGAGCACAGACACCTCCTGAGCCATGGGCCCACAGGTAAGGCCTAGTCAGTTCTCCCACCCCTTCCACCTCTGCCCAGGCCTAGGGCAGACACGGCTCCACGACCACCTCAGATAAGTCAGGACACTCCACCCCGACTGAGCCCACTCTGGAAGAGGCACTCCCCATGGGGACACCCACTCCTGCCTGCAGAGGAACTGGCCGCAGGGCTGCTGTTACCCGCCCACCCCTCAGTGGAGCTCTGAGCCCGAGCCATCCGCACTCAGCCTGGGCAGGAGCCGTCTGCCCCGTCTGGCCCGGCAATCCCGGACGCTGGCTCTTAAGGGGTATCACAGGAGGGGTGCAGGGTGTCCTCCTCCGTGCAGGGAAGAGGGAAAAGCCCCGAGGAGCTCCACCCGCTCCGGGCCACCCCTAAAGCAAACAGCTCAATGTGCTTCTGATTCCGGTGCTTCCCCATCCGCCAATGATTTCACCTGTTATTTCAGCAAATCAATGGATTCCAATCTGAAGTGGCGAACAAACCTGAGGCCACTGTGGGAGGAGACGGCCTCAATCCCCTTGTGCCCTTTACCCAGGGACTCAGGCAGAAGGTCCCAGGACCCAGAACCCAGAGAGCCCCCGCCTGGGCAGAGGGGTCGGGCGGTCAGCGCTGGCCCTGTGTGAGACAGCGGCTCCCATTCGGCCCCGCCGAATTCCTGCAGGGCATCATCAGAGTCCAGTCTCCTGGGGTCCTCTGTGCAGAGGGGCCTCACTCTCCCTTCCCACTACCCCGAGAAGAGGGGCCACTCTCACGTGGTGGGCTGGGGCCAAGGACAGGGGTCCCCCGGAGTGAGGGCCAGGAGGGCCTCCCTCTCACGGGTGAGGTCCTCTACCAGCATTGCCTGCCCCTCCCAACAGAGGCCAAGGACCATGTGGCCTCCCTCTGTCGGGAGCGGGTGGGATGGGGCCAGACCCTTCCGCCAGGGTTGCCAGGACGGCTTCGTCAGCAGGTCAGGGGCAGGGATGAAGACCTGTCCGCAGGGCCTGGTGAGGAGGGTGCGGCTGAGAGCCCCCCTCACTGCTACAGATGGCACGTCTGCTGCCCCACTCCCCTAGTCTGGGGGAGCTGAGCATGGGGATGAAAGACAAACACAGCCTCCCACGGTGGGGCAGGGCAGCGTGCACCGTGTGAAACACGCAGACAACTGGGAGTGCCTGAGCAAGCTGCCCTCTCCCTCCTGGGCCGTGGCCCACGGGAAGCGGGAGGAGAGGCGAGGCAGATGCCCAGGACTGTCTGGGGGAATACCTGAGCCTCACCCCAGAAGCTTGAGGCCATGACCAAACCAAAGTGCCGGAACCCCCATAGGTGGGGGTGCCCCCGACCAGCTTCCCAGGTCAGTTCACATGCAGCCAAGTGAAATGAAGAAACACCAAAGCATGGCCGATTCCCGGGGATTCCGGCCACCCCACAACGGCCCAGTGAGGCTGCACCACATGCCATGTTACTAGCCAGGAGACATCACAGAGAGGGAAGGCCAGCCCTCCACGGGCACACAGCTGGTCAGGGTGGAGGTAGAACCCAGCAGCCTGGCTCTACCCCGGCCTGGCCTGGAGCTGAGCATGGGAGGCGCAGGCCCAGCTGCAACCCCCTCCCCAGTCCGTGTTCCCACCGCACAGCCCCACCCCGCACCCTGCCTAGGAAGCCCCTCTCTGGAAAGCCCCTGCCTGTCCATCTTTCTTCACCGGTACATCGAGGCCCAAGCCACACCCAGACATCCAAGAGGCCCGCCCTGTCCTCTGCTGCCTGCCCAGGCCTTCTTGCTGTCATAAATGTGTTTGGGTCGTACCAGGACACACGATTCCTGCCCCATCGCTTCCTGCCCTGAAGCCCAGCACTGCCGGGCACACACCCCAGTTCCCTCTCCTGCTCTGCCCACGCAGCCCACCTCTGCCCCTCTCCAGCTGTGTGACCTCAGACAGATGTCTTGCCCATTCTGAGCCTCTGTTTCCTTGTCTGTACAACAGAGATAATTGTAGTGCCTCCCAGAAGCGCTGGGTGGGGTGAAGGAATTCTACGCATATAAAAAGCGTAAAGCACTCCTCTGCCTGGGCACCCGGCGGCAGATGCCCCATGAACAGTATCGAGCTGCAGTTGACCGATGGCTACTTAGTATCAGGTGGTGGGGTGGTGGCAGTGGAGAAAGCACCAATGAGGCCCGGGTCCCAAGGGCACCAGGCTGAGGAATAGAACTGCACACACGAGGGTCAAAAGGTGGGGTCTGGAGGCTGCTGGGTCCCTGGCTCCTGAGTGCCTCTCTATTGCACGGTCAGCCGGTGTGTCTCACCCCCCTTTTACAGTGGCCACCGCGCCCTTTTGCAGAGCACCAGCCTATCCTCGGTCTCTCAGGGAATGAGGCGCCTTCGAAACGGGTAGTGCCCAGTCGCAGTGGCAGCCCGGTGCCAGCTCCATGCCCGGGGACGTGCAACGCGGTAAACAGATACCCCTGGCCCACTGGAGGCAAATCATGTATGGCTGCGAGGCCCTCAGAGGCTGGGTATGAGGAGTGCGGGTGGTGGAAGAGGAGTCTCCACCCCAGCCCCAGCTTGCTTGCACCTCGGAGTGGGCAGTGCTCCTGGGGGTAAGCAGGTCAGGAGAGTTTGGAGGTGGGGGTCAGAGGCATGAGCGGCCTGATGGGCTGAGCGTCCTCTAAGAAAGGGGCAGAAGGGGTGGGCAGGGACATGGCCCTTGGGGGGACGAGGTTGGCAGCGGGAGGGAACTGAGCAGGGCCAAGTCAGGGCACTGGGGCTGTGAACTTGGCGACGCTTCCTGCCAGGAGCCCACCTGTTAGAGGAAGGGCCACCCCGGCAGGGGCGGTGGGAGCAGAGCTGTCACAGGGAAGTTCAGACCAGCACGGTGAGCACAGGAAGAAGACCCAAGGGACCGACTGCCAAGGACAGGGGGTGGGAGGTCCAGGGCTGGGACAGAGCGGAGCTTATGGCCAGAGTAGGTGTCTGAGTCGATACCTGTGTTCACAGGTGGTGAGAACAGCGCTGCCCTCAGCAGGGCAGGTGACTGACGGGGCCGCAGCCGCCTTCACTGGAGTTGCCACAGCCTTGCTCTGCTCAGACACATCCCTGTCCCCTGCCCCCTCCAATCCTCCTCTCCCACCCCCTTTCTACCCCAAGGATCACACCGGGGGTCACAGCCTTTGTGTGGCCAGTGGCCATGTTGGAAGTGCCTGTGTTGTCCTCCAGAATCTTCTTTCTCTCCCCGGACAAGCATTTCCGCTCCTCCAACCAAGCAAGGATGACCCTTCCCAAGCTGCTGTCCCCACCTGGCCACTCTCCTCTGGACACCCCTCGGCGGGGATGCTCCACTCTGAGACGTCCCCACCCTGCACAGACCCCTCACCCCTGGCTCTGGGCTTTTCTCTAAGGGGTCTAGGATGCGCCCACCGCACCCGTGGCCGTGTCTCCCTGCTGACCACTCCCCACCCTGCGGTCCGAGCGGACGTGCCCTTCCGGACAGCTGTCAACCCCATGAACTTGTCACGCATCCCGCTGAGTCCCACCCTGACTCAATGCGCAACACTCGCTCCTGGCGTGCTCCCTTCCCGTTCTGGAGTCAGCTGCTCAGCCCTGTGACCTCCCCCGCGCGGCAGTGACGGGGTCCACCCGCCCCTCACTCCTTCCAGAGGCAGCCTCTATTCTTCCTCAGAGTGGCTGTCCGCTGGCCCTCAGGATTGCCTTTCTGATACTGCCGCCCAGCATCCCCTGAGCCCTCACCCTGTGCCAAACCCTCCATATTTTCAAGCTCATTCAATCCTCAGAGGAACTCAGGAGGAGGTCTCCAGGTGTTCCCAGAGGCCCCGAGAGGGCGAGCAGTCTGCCCAGGGCTACACAGCTCAGAAGCGCCAAGGCTGGCTTGGACTGGGCTCTGGTGAGCTCCACCTTCCCGCCAGGCAGCCCATCCTCTGGAGGCCCCGACTCCTGCAGGGCAGACAACAACCCAGCCTTTGACCCCAGCGTGAAGGGGGCTCCAGACGATGGCAGGGTTAGCCCAACAGCCGTCAAGGCTGTGATCACAGCCTGGGCAGGGCTGTGATCTTGTAAGACTCACAAGCGAACGGAGGGGCGCTGGCCATGGTGGAGCTCGGCCAAGGGGCAGCCTGGGCAGCCTGGGCAGCCCGTAGGTCAGGGAGAGGCGGGAACAGCAACCTGGGGCTGGACAGGGTACAGGGCCACCTAGGTCACATGGCTCGTAGCCTCCATGCTACTCCAGGTCTAAGGGGGCTGCCTCCTGCCGCACTCCCGGCTGTCATACCCCACGCCTCTCCAGGGACAGGCCCACTCCTGGCCATCCCTGAGGCAGTTCCAGCTGGAGCCCTGGAACCCCGAAACCTGGATAAGTGCCAGCCGACCTGTGCTCTCAGCCCAGCCCTGAGGGAGGCTGTGCAGCCAGACCCCACTCTGACCAACACGGCACCCACGAGGGATGGCTGTCAGGAAGCCTCACTTCTCAGGGCCCTTGCACCCCCATTTAAGAGACGCTGGTCTCCCTCAGACCTGCCAGACCTCCTCTCTCTCAGTACCCACAGCATGGGGAGACATTCGCTTGCTGACTCTTTGCGGGCCAGACCACCAAGCCCTGCCTGCTGTGCTCTGCAGCCCCAGCACCCGCCTGGCACACGGTGCTCTGCACTGCAGCCCCAGCACCCGCCTGGCACACGGTGCTCTGCCCCAGCACCCGCCTGGCACACGGTGCTCTGCTTTGCAGCCCCAGCACCGGCCTGGCACACGGTGCTCTGCTTTGCAGCCCCAGCACCGGCCTGGCACACGGTGCTCTGCACTGCAGCCCCAGCACCCGCCTGGCACACGGTGCTCCGCACTGCAGCCCCAGCACCCGCATGGCACACAGTAGGTGCTCTGCACTGCAGCCCCAGCACCCGCATGGCACACAGTAGGTGCTCCGTGAAGAAGCGATGACAGAATCAATGAGTTGGTTTGAGCTACTGGAGCCCAGCAGGTCAGGTCAGGACAGGACCAGGGTAACTGCTGGAGAAGCACCATGTGGGGTTAAACTGCTTGACTTCCTCCTCATTCCTCCTCACTTTTCTTTTTCTTTTTCTTTTTTTTTTTTTGAGATAGCGTCTCGCTCTGTCCCCCAGGCTGGAGTACAATGTTACAATCTCAGCTCACTGCAACCTCCGCCCTCCGGGTTCAAATGATTCTCCTGACTCGGCCTCCCCAGTAGCTGGGATTATAGCTGGGCGCCATCATGCCCAGCTAATTTCTGTATTTTTAGTAGAAACAGGGTTTCACCATGTTGGCCAGGTTGCTCTCGATCTCCTGACCTCAGGTGATCCGCCCACCTCGGCCTCCCAGAGTGCTAGGATTACCGATGTGAGCCACCACACCTGGCCTTCTTCCCTGCTTCTAAGGGGCTCCTGTATATCCCCCACCTGGACATGGGGCTCTTGAGTAAGTTCAGTCTGCAGGACCCCAGGGAGATGACACCGGCATTCCAGAAGCCTGTGCCGGTGTGGTCCCCCTGGCCCCATCATCC